CCATTCTCCACCTCACAAGCTTATGGTTTCCATCAATGTGCCTGTTGATAATGGAAAAACACAAAGATAATGCTTTTATTATATTAAAGCTATAATATTATGCAAAACACCAAGTATAATTATTTAAATAGTTCACCCAAAAATGAAAATTCTGTGGAAGCTTGTTTTCACCATAGGGGAAAAAAATTTAAAAGATAATTGTGACCCTATTTTTTGTTTTTTTCTGAGAGAAAAAAACATTTTTTTTCTTAAAATTTCAAGTTGATATCTAGCAATTCTGAGAAAAAAAAAGAGAATTATGAGAGAAAGTGGTGGAAACAATCTTCCATATATTGCAGTTCCAAAAAAATTAACATAGTATAGTGCTGTCACGATATCCAAATTTCCACTACACGATTATCGTGGCCAGAAAAAAATTAACAATACCGATATATTGCAATATCTATAGAAAAATAAATAAATAATGCTTTCATATTTATTCTTTTTTTCCCCAGAATAAAAGTAGCATAAAAAGAACAATTAAACTTAATGTAAACAGTTTGAAATAACCCTCTGTGAACTGATATGGCCTCTTATGAATGTGTTCTACTTAACCCATGCAGGCCTGGCTTTTGCCAGAGTGCTCACTGAAAATCCGTAGTGGCATTGTTCAGGATTGGTGACATCCTTCCCCTCAAAATATTTAACAAACTAGGTCAAAAATGCAGTGTTATGACTAACTTACAACTTTTAACTATTACAACTAAATTGTTCAAACATTGCATGGTGTTTATGTAGGGCACTGATATCAGCCCTTATTGTAATTTTGAATGCACCCTGCTACCAGCTGAAGATTGAACCCCCACTCTGTTGGGTTTGTTACTCCAAAAAATGTATTACTTATTACAAAAGTAATATTATTATTTTACTTATAACCAACAGCATTTGCTACTCATTAAATTACTTATAATATATAAAAAGCCTACCATATCTGGTTTGGAGCTTGAACACTGTAAACTCTTCGCCGAATTGCATGCCGTCGTCTAAATGCTCGCCCAATAGGATCAACTTCATGAAGGCTCTGTCTGATACGCCAACGTTGAACTCGAATATTGCGTGCTCTAAGGCTTCCATGAACATATCTTTCTCCTGCATTAGGCGTGCATTCCAAAATATTCCTTACAGCTCTGTTAAGAGCATGATTTGACATTCTGGTGTATGTCTGAATGTACGGTGTATGTAAACTGAATGTACGTGGCTTCCGGTGTCATGCACTTCCAATTATTTTTAGCCGTACAAAACAGCTCATTATTAAAACTGGTATTTCATATTATATTATTTTTATGATAGCATTGTAATTTTTGTTTACTGCACTTTGTTATTCTTCTCGTTATTTAACAATAGAAGTTCCACAGAAAAAAAGCTTACTTCCGCATTGCAAAATAAAGTGGATAGAATGGATTCTGTTTACAGAAATATAGATCGTGCAGCATATTTACAGACCAGTAAATAGCTCTAAAGAGTTTAGTGCTCCAAGAGAACACAAGAAATATAGGTCAGGAAGGTCATGTTTGACTGGATGTAGAATGTTCTGGATTAAATATAAAGAAATAATAAAGCTAAAAGTGTGAACCTGATCATGTAACCTTTAGATAATTTGCTCATCATTGAAAGAACAAGGGTATTTTGTCACCTATTGAACAATCTGACTCTTACTTTTAAGGCGATTTTAATAGCGCAGAAAACATATTTAACTTTGAAGCATCGGGTTGATTCATCTTGACTTTAAAGATATGAGAACTGATTATAAACTAAATTGTGATTTTTTTTTCCCATGAAAAATGTCATATCTATTTGGGCTCTCATAGAACTTTTGAAGAAACATGAATACAGTCTTTTTTTTCCAGGGGTGAATAAAAGTTATATTTCTGAAATTTGCATTTCTTTTGCACAAGTTAATGGTGCAATAAATTTAAATTACTATTACTATTTTTACTCGTATAACATTGGGGTCTCTTGGACCCTAAACATGAACATAAAGTCAGAAAATGATGGTTAACAACACCACCACTCAAATGTGCCTCTGCATATTAACCCTTAGATGATTACTAAAACAAGTAAATTCAAATCATCTTATTAATGTGTAACATTTAATTGCTTCCAATAGAAACGGTGGTCGACCCAGAGCCCACAAAACATCATCTTCTTTGTGGGCGCATAATTCCAGCAGTTCTGACAGCCTCTTTGAGATGAGAACTGTACACAGTACACACACTCGATGTATCTGATGCTGGAGAGAATCTGTACAATTGAAGCAAGAATTAAGATAGGCCTTAAATATTTTAGGCTTATTTAGTAATGCATATAGTGTATTTGTGCATAAATGCGATCCATTTCAATTAGTTAAATAGCAGTGTGTAAACAGAAGGCTTTAGTAGCTATGTCAGTACAGTGCCTGTCAACATTGTGAGAATGTGAGACTGACTA